TTATATGTCATATGTACATATGTCAAAATGTCAATACGCATTGTCATTGTATTGTACGCTTTTCGATCTCGCAGTTAATTAAAAAATTTATCTTAAATATTCGAGTTTATTGAACTTAAAATAATATTGTTACAGAGATCAACACATCGTGTTTTCGTTGTCGCATAAAGTATTGTGCTTTTAAAATGCCTGGCTGCGTTGTTATGAACGAACACTTATTTTGAGTTTAATAGATTCAATATTTAAGATACATTTTTTAATTAACTGCGAGATTGATAGACGTACAATGACAATGCGTATTGACATTTTGACATATGTATATATGTATACGAGGTATAACCTAACTTTCACACGCGGTTGGAAGAAAAATGGCGGACGAGAATACCTAATTTTATAGAGCTCTAAGTTTACGCAGGTAACAAAATTATATACTCTTCAGTAAATGGTAGAAATTTATTTGCTTAATTAAAGATTTAATATAGACTTTCATTATCGATTCAACTTGATTGAAAATTTAAAAAAAAAAATTAAATGTTGAAAGTTATACCTACAATAAAATTGGTGTCAAATATATTGTATTTTTTCTGTGTAAAATAATCGACAACACAAAATTTTAAATATCATATCAATATAATACGATTCAATTTAATGATTTAAATATTTGACGTTGCTGCATTTACAATTATTCACTAATTATTCATTACGCGTGGAATATTATTGATAAAATACGCGAACACGCATATACGCACAACGTACACGTCGATTAAATGAATAAACGTTTAAAGATTTGTGAGATATACATATATAATTTAATTGGATTCTATTAAATGAAAATATCGCGTTTCCAGCATAAATCTACCTTTTCATTTGCCATGTAAATTTTTTATTTTTTGTATTTTTATTCTCAAATGAAGCCGACGTTTCGTTGCGCAATATCACGTTCGACGTTAATAATGATATATATAAAAAAAACCGCGATTCTTCCGATAAAAGTTCCGAGGTATAATCACCTGTTCCGCGCCATTTATTGAGACGCGCACCCATTTTCATTTACGTACACGATCCGTAATGTTCGACTAACAATTTGTCACGTGATAGAAGGACGAAAACGAGGAACGTATGGCGGTGCAATCTGTCGGAGAAACGAGCAAAAAAGCTCGCCCGATATATTTCCTGCTTGCGTTTTTGTGGTTCGTACGTATCGATCGTTCCAGTTTTGGCTCGTTAAAAACCTCACACGGGAGATTTTACAAGAAATAACTCCGGGAGCGCGGAAGAAAAAAAATGGAAAAACTTTGAACGCGAAATTCTTTCATTCGCCAACTCTTACAATTCCTGCCGCGTCTAAATGTCGAACATAGTTGTCATTTTTTGTTAAAATCTGGTCTACAATGATGATCACGTATTTTGTTCAAGATCTATATATATGTAGAACAAGGTATATGTTAAATTGTACATCCTAAGTTAAATATTAAAATTGCAATAAAACTATCAAAGAAATGATAAAATTTTTTTATTCATTTGAAACTATGGTTTTTTGGCAACGATATGCGCTAAATATTAGCATTTTATCATTGTTTCATGTCGGAAATTAAATCTTTTTTTAAAAGTATTTGGTGCGAAATCGTATCTCTAACAATAAAATAAAAAAATTGTGACCAAAATAAAATTTTATTTTCTATAAAAGTTCTCAATCTGCTACAAAATATATCTATATAAGAATATCATATTAATAATCATAAATTCAAAAATTCAAAGTAGCCTCTTTTGTCTTTAAAATTTCAACAAAAATACTTTTTATATCATACAGAAATACAAATAAGTATTGTCTCGATATAATTATAAAATTTGATATTTTCTTCAGTTGTCCATTTAAATATAAAGAACAAAAATTGTGAATAAAAAAAAATTTTAAAACATTTATCTAATTCAACGCATTCATAGGATTAAATGAGATGAAAAATGCTTTAATGATAAGTTGAATTGCTTATTTATATTTCTCGACAGCGTTAACAATTAAAATATTTTAACTCTTAAAATATTTTAACTCTTTAAAAAATGCAATATAGAGGTACGGTTTAATGAACGGGCGCGATTTAACATACTTTCATAGCTTCCTTATTATATTTTATCTATCTATCTATCTCTCTTTATCTCTCGCGCGCATCGCGAGAATAATTTATTTCAGAAGATTAAATATACAACCGACGTACTCCGCTGCTGACCAACCGGCTGAAAAGCGGCGATGATGGAATTTCTCATATTGCGAACGTTAACTTTTTTTTTTATATCGGATGTGCATTACCGCGGAAGTTCCATCCAATTTGAATCGCCGCTTTTTTTTCCGCGCGAGTATTGAAATTTTTCCGCCGCGACCGAGTTACATGTATTTTCTGTGCTGCTCGAGTCGATTTATAGAGATTCCGCATTACATATATATATATATATATATATATATATATATATATGTATATGTATATGCATGCTGCGCGCGTTTAGCGATATTTAATTAAATCCCGTCTGCCGGGCGGAAACTTCTGTCGATAGTTTGAAACAGTTTGCAACCACGCTCTTACCACGGCCATCGGCTCGCGGCGTGAATGGTCACGTGAGTACAAAACCGTTATTTAGAGAGCCAATCAGAATGTGTGTTCTAACAGATAATGTTCGAGTCACTCTTTTTCGCTTTATGCACAACCGGGGATTATTGAACAAAAATACGCTCGGAGAAGCTATATTGAAACTGGTTGCAGAGAAGGATATACTGAATCGGCCCACGTAAAGTGTGTGACAAGTCAATAACTCGGAAAATATCTGTTGAACAGTAGTGTTTGGTCTGCCGTTATTTAAACAAAATTATATAGATCATTTAGATAAAATGTTGGTGCCGTCTTTATACAGATAAGAAAAATATGTATTATATATAATCTGCATTTTATATAGATAAAAAGTGTTATCTTTTCCAAATTATCTAGAATAATGTTAAAAGATGATTTAGAATGAAATTTAAATTTAAATTTAGCGGTAAAAACTTACACAAATAAAAATAGAATACATATTTTCAAATCCCTTTTATAATTTATATTTTTTTTGATAACTGTGCTTACATAAGCGGTCTTAAAAATAATATTATCTGGAAATTATCTAGATGAATCGTCACATAATGTTATCTTTTTTTAGATATATTTAAAACGAAATCATCTTTATCTTATCTAAAATAAATTTACGTATTTTCATCTTATTCTTATTTAGTTAATTTTAAAATTATTTAAGCACAACACTGCGTGTTGAATCAAAAACATGAATTCAAGTTTCATGTATTCGAGAGGAAACGGGAGGAAAAAACAAATAAATTTTACCTGAAACGCGTTTCTTTGAAAACTGCTTCTGTCAAACATTGAAACTTTAGAACTGCACAATCAAACTAATGATGAAATTAAAATTAAATGAGAGGCTTTATTAAGGTTTTTTTTATTTTATGGTTGACTTTCTCTTTGATATACTTTTATAAAAAATAGTGCAAAGACGTACCACATTTGACGGAAGAAGACTTAAAACAAAGAATGTGTGAAGCTTGCGACCCTAGAATTTAAAGTTAAACCAAATTTTGTAACTAGAATTAATGAGTGTTTAGATGAGAACGATCAGCAGTTCGAACATTTAATAACGTAAAAAAAAACTATCAAGTCTTTCATTCACTTTATGGTTTTATCATTAGTTTGAACGTACTCTACTTCACAAAGTTTAAGTGTTTATAACTTTTAATAGAAGCAATTTTCGAACAAATGATCCATAAAGTTTACTTGTTCTTTTTTCCCATAGAATCCAAATATAAGTAACATTTTATAGCGGGTTCCATTGGAAATTATGAAGTTGCCCCCCTTCTCATGTTCTTTTTGAAGAGGTAACATGGGTGATTTTATATTTATGTAGTTAGAAAGACCCTTCGAATACATGAAACTTTTTTATGAGAATAACTTTTTGAAAATATTTTTAAAGTTATTGGCTTGTCACATTTTACGCGAGTCATCCTCTATGTTATGAATAAAGAATGTGTAAAAGCTTTAAAGCAACAAATTTAAAGAGGAATTTTAATATTCCGAGCACACTTCTAACAATATAACATCGATATTTATGATAATAAATTCTCTTTTACGAAAATATCTCGTAATAATAAATATCAACGATATAAATGTTTTGCATATATTGCAAGAATATACTGCTTCATATGTCAAACTAATTACAGTGATGCAGATTTTTAATAGAAAACATGTGTTTCCCTACTTTTTTTACACAATGTTATTAAAAGAATTGAAATATAGTTTTTTATAAGTGTATACAGCAAAAATGTAAGAGTACAATTTATTAAGGCAAGATATTTTTGTGCGATACAAAGAATATTTTTGTTAATTTTTCGAAGAAACTTTATGATTATAAATATGATACTTATAGTACTACTATAATTACTTTTTTATAGTTATATTAATAGATATATTTTGTTGTAGACTTTTGTAGAAAATAAAATTTTATTTTTTTACAATTTTTTAATTTTATTGTTAGAGGTACGATTTAAAAATTCACGGGAATAATTTAGCAAATCGGTATTGTAAATTGTATCAAATACTACTTTTTAAAAATGTTTAATTTACAATTTGAAAATGATGTGTTAATATTTAGCGAATAAAAGAATTTTGTCATTTTTTTTGATAGTTTTATTGCAATTTTAATACTCACCTTAGGGGTACGATTTAGCATATTTCCCCTTATATATTTTTGCATACATTTACGCAAGACAATTTTGAATAAAACATATGCAGAAGATTTTCAAATCTCCTTTGTAGAACAAGTAGCATCATGAAGGCTAAAATGAAGCAATTTATTTTAGAATCTTTTGTGAAATGGTAAAATCGAGATAACTTCGTGTATATACATATATATATATATATGTATTAAAATTCTTTGTGTGAATAATTTAAAAAAGATAGTGCTATATATTCTAGAGAAGGAGAAGAGGGACAGCAATTCCGAATGAAGAATGTAGGGCTGGAATCCAGCTCGCTTCCACCTCGCGAAATGGACCATAATGATGACGTATTGGCAGCCAGAGCCGGGAAAATTTCGTAGAAATGTAACCACGTTCGCCAAATGTCACGCGCCAAACTCCCTAATCTCGTTCTGTCTCGCTCAATTCTAACTGTATTCATTTTTCCGACATTTCAATCTCAAATCAAGATTTCGTACCGAGGATCGTGCATATAATTTTCGCGAAAATTTTTCTTAAGAGGAATAGTTTTGTGTTATTTTGATCGAAGAGTGAGCTTAGATACGATTATAAATCTATTTATTGGATATACGGATTGTTTATTATCTACAATTATTAATATTAATACTTTAACAAAAAAATAAAATATTTTTATTATTTGTTTATATTTTGATTGGCTATACAGATTGATAAATCCTTTTCCACAATTAAAGTATTAATATTAACAAACCGCGTAAGCTTATAATTTCTAATAATAAATAATAAACAGTTTGTATAGCTGATAAATAGATTTCCTTATCAGCACACATAAACCGAAGACGTTCAGAGAACATCCTGAGGTTGTTCGAATGTCCTCTGGATAACCTTTGAATATCTCTTCCGGATATAGTGTGCTATTAGGGTTTATAGTTGAATTTAACTTCACTTTTCGATCGATAAAATATAACTAGTCCGACATCCCCTTCAGATTTCTATTTCTAACTAAAAAAATATAAACAAAGAAAATAAAAATATTTTGATTTTTTGTTTATATTTTGATTGGCTATACAGATTGAATCCTTTACCACAATTAAAGTATTAATATTAACAAACTCCAAAGACGTTCAGAGAACATTCTGAGGATGTTCGAATGTCCTCTGGATATCCTTTAAATGTCTCTTTCGGATATAGTGTGCTATTAGGGTTTATAGTTGAATTTAACTTCACTTTTCGATCAATAAAATATAACTAATCCGACATCTCTTTCAGATTTCTGTTTCTAGTTAAAAAAAAAAATCATCCCTCTGTCTCTCGAGGTTTTCTGAAATTCAATATGCTAAATGTCGATTGTAACTCGATCTCCCGGCTTCCTTTCTCCTCCTGTTACTTCGTATGCTGCGAGGTTCAAAAGAGATGAGACTCTGTAGACGAAATTATACACACTTAAAGGGTAAAGAATGAAAAGGAAGAAGAAAAAAGAGATAAAACCGACCAGAACGGGCGAACGAAGATGAGAATATCAAAGTCGAGAGCCTCCGGCGCGAAGTTTACGGAGATGGTATATGGCTTTTCCGTAGGATTTTCCTGGATCGAGCTATCTCCATGTTGTGTTCCGCGAGTTTGCCGGGCGATAACTAATATATACCGAGATAATGCAGCGACCAAGGTTTAAGACAAACTTCGGTTAATTAACATAACTCTTGGTTAATAAATAATAAAGCAGAATTAAGTTACAAATTTTGAAGAAAAAAGAGATGGTTAAAAACATTTTTTTATATAATTAAATATTATGCATAAGACACGATGATTAAAAAATGCATGACACGATAATTTAAAAAAGGGTATAAGAAACATAAAAGAAAGATATACAGACATAATAAAAAATGAGTAGTTGCGAAGTTAATAGTAGAACACACAGTTAACGTTATTGTTAAGTAACATTAATTTAATTTACAGTCAAAAATTATTTTAAAGAAGATAAAATGTTTCTTCTCTCAGAAACATTTTGATCTTTATTTGAATTCTGCGTAAGCAGTGTTGTGCTTAGATGATATTAAAATTAGCTAGATAAAGATGAGATAAACATATGTAAATTTATCTTAACTAATAAGATGAAAATAATTTTGAATTTAAATATATCTAGATAAAAGATAAAATTTTATAGCAATTTATCTAGATAATTATATTTTTAAAATTGCTTATGTAAACAATTATAAAAAATGCAAATTATAAAAGGGATATAAAAATATATTCATACTTTTATTTGTAAGTTTTTATCACTTACTGCTTAAGTTCTACTGCTTGAGTATTTTTATTTATTATTATCTGAAAATTATTCTAGATAATTTAGTAAAGATAACACCTTTTTTATCTAAGATGCAGATATAGCTAATACATATTTTTATTATTTACATAAAGATAAGATGACGTCAAAATTTCATCTAGACGATCATCTAGATAATTTTGTCTAGATAACAGCAAACACTGATAAATTTATTTAGATAACAGCAAACTACAAATGCATCACAAATTATCATGCAATGCATGATCATCTAGATAATTTTGTTAGATAACAGCAAACACTGATAATTTTATTTGGATAACAGCAAACACTGTGCGTAAGTGTGACCGAAAAAAAAATTGACTGGAGCAAAAATCTCTGTTCGGTTCGGCCAATCATTCCTGAAAACAGCAAAACGAAACGTGAGCGAGACGTGACGAGACAGCGAGACTATCGGCAAACGAAAATACTGGACGACGCCGGGACGACCGCCACCACCACCACGATTATGCTAATTGCAATAGCAGCAATCACTCTGCGTGACAGCGATGGTGAATCGATCGATCGTTCCGATGCGGCTAGGGTAGCATTAATTAATTGGATGCCACTAATTCGGCCGGATCATTTGCATGGCGCGATATAACTGCAGGCACGAGAGCAATAAAATACGGAATTTAGGCTACATGTACATGTACAGTCGAGTGCATTAAATGCTATCTGGCATTCGCCGTATTAACGATTAAATTTCTCTCTCTATACATACATATATATATATATATATATATATATATATATATATCGTTTGAGATATCTTTCTACATACCTACATACAAACATACATATGCACGTATATTGGTATGATTAATTATGCGGTTTAATATATTCGTTTCGAATTTGTAAAGAATGAAAATATGTGTCAAATAAAGTGTCGAATGCAGGCGCACATTCGATATTTGACTGTACAAACTCGTTACGAATCCGATATCTACGGCCGACCTCGGTGCCATATTTCTCTATGTTGAAAATATCACATTTATGCGTATTATAAATTGTAATCGAAAAAATTATTGCTTCTCACAGAGAGGTATATAAATATATATCCGGACGGATCGATAAAATTATTAATAAAATGTTTACAATATTCTTTTTCGAACAAAATTCTTTCGATATTAAATTAAGCTGATAATAAATTAAAAATTAATTAATCTTAATATTTTTATATAATTTCGAAAAAAGAGGTTTCTCTCTTGAGAAAAATTAAAATTCACAATATACTTTGCAAAGAAAATAACTTGAGGGACGACAAGATTTTCGTACATGCGAACGATACTCAAAGGACTAAGAACTTTATCGGAGCATAAACCGCTTTAGGCCATAGCCGCATACCGCACTGGTTTACTTGACAAGTCAAGCGGAAGTTTCTTTTGACCGCGTGTTGGGTCAGCGGAATAAATACGTGAGGCCCATCTGTATGTGCGATCCGAATTTTCAGCTCGGGTACCGCCCTAATCGCGTGATTAATGAATCCATTGTTCAGAAATTAAATCACGCGACTGATCCCTGTGTGTGTGTGTGTGTGTGTGTGTGCGACGTATTTCAATTTATAACATTTTTCACACTTTACACAGTAGAAAAATTTGAGTTTTTTTGTTAAAAACGGTCCCCGTGAAAATTTGACACATTCATGTATTAATTTAACATATCACTGTTCTGTTCATTGAACTTAAATGTTAAATTATTAAAACAACTGATAAAATGTAAAAATAACACAATAATATGCATCTATTTTTAATTTTACAGAATTAAAATGTTCTGCTTTATTAGTGACAAGATTTGTCTGTTAAAATTTACAGACAAAAATATTGATTTCCTATTTTATAATCTAAGTGTGGGGATGAAATATAAAATTAACTAAAATTAATCTAAAATTTATTTTAAAATAACTAAGAAGTAAAATTTATTTTAAATTATTTGAAGTTTTGCATTTACTTTGTGTTAAAATATTAACACAATATTTGTGTCTTCATTTAACATATCCATATTATATTAAATTAACACAAAAATTTCTGTGGGCCGTTTGGGACATGTGATATCTGTCAACAGAAATTTTTCAACTGTGTAAGAAATATTTTATTTAATTAACTGAATTACTAATTTAATATTACACTAGTGTACAGCCAAACATTATTTCGAACGAGAAAGTGTTTTTCATCGATTTTTGGATGCCCGCAAACCAAATTTCATTCGCACGTCAGTTTAACAAAATAATTGTATAAAACTGTCTTTTTTTTGCGATATATGAGATTTTTTTGTAAAAAAGTTTAATACTATCTGAAAAATCTGATCAAGTATTTCAAATGATAAATGTATTATTGATCTTCATAAAATGCATTTTTTAAATGTCAATATCTTACTTTTTAGCCAGATTATGAAAGATTAAAGCTGGGAACATCTTTTCATATGGAAATACTTCTGAGGAAAAAAGATTTTTTGGAAGAAAATTATTTTTCCAAAATTGATTTTATTATTATTTATCCTTTTTTAGATTATCACGTAACTTTTCAGGGTGAACAATTAAAATGAAACACCTTATATATATATATATATATATATATATATATATATACATTTAGGAGATGGACAATACATTCATGACTTTTGATCAGAATTTCAAAATAACATCGATCTTTTTTACAAAAAATATGAAAACTGCAAAAAAGTCATTTTTCGCATATTAAACCTCAATTATTTCGGAAACCTAACGTGCTGGTGAAAATCGATTTGTATTATTTTCAACATTAAAAATTATTTCTACAAGAACCATCTTATTTAAAATAATGAAAAAATGTTTTATTTTTTTTTGTAAACTATTGTTATTAATTCGATAAAAGATATAAAAAATATTTCTCTTTATCTCTCTATTTCTCTTGCTTTGTTTTTTATTATAGAATTTTTTACTTGTGTTTAATAAAACTGGTAGTAAAAAAAAATGATAACCGATATATCTATAATGAAAATTAATTAAAATAAATTTAATTAAAAACTAAATTTAATTTATTTTAAATTAATAAAGCGATAGATAAAAATATATAGCTCTTCCTCAGGCGGCAGAAACATTTAATTTAAACAATACACAGAGCGATTCGCGGATCATTCTCGCCATTTTTCAGTACCCACTCACCTTCAACATTTGAGATCCTTCAATTTCCGGATCTAATTAATTACCATTCATTCATCGCGATATATATATATATATATATATATATATTAAGACATCATGGCCACGAGGCCATTATCTCGATTTCCGACGTGGAATTTCTCACACTTCGGCATCGC